CAAACTTTATCATTACTGTAAATTTAATTTCTCTTGCCTACTACTTGAACTTTTATTAAATTCTTACCTTCATCTTCCCTTTACTCCTAATATCTTCTCAAACCTTTTCATCTAAACTTATAAATAACTTAGTATATGTCCTAGGATCAATCTGATCGATCCTGCAAGTAACCAAAATAACCATTTTTGGAAGATCAACGGTTGTTTACCAATTTTCACGGTAAACAAGATCCTAATGGATGGCACTATAGAGTTTTCCATAAATGTCCACAGGTGGAAAATGGTGATAGTTCACCGTACATTTGTCGGGATGGGCACCAAACTGAGGCAGAGATATGGAGGTTAATTTTACGGTGGCGCTAAACAACACATTATAATTTAATACATGATTATGTTTCAAACATAATCTAGAATAACAGACCCACTTGAGTTCCCCCTTACGCTGGATGCAATGTTGGGGTTGAAGTTTTCCTTCAAGGTGAAGCGGATTCCTCGATGAAGTAGCGCTTATGTTGTCATGTATGTTAAGGACGAGAAGATTTTCTAACAACTTGAAAGAGATGTATCCCTAACTGGAATTGTTCATGGTAAGAACCCTATCTATATGAAGCACTTCCAAACTGGGATTTACACCAAACATTACTAATATTTTATACATATCATCAGCCAACGGTCATAACTGATGCCGCAACATACTCTGTTCAGGTATATACCTTTGTAGTTACATGTTGTTATCCCCCTCTAAGCCTACTACATTCTTTAATTGAATTTATAATGTTCTTTACTTTGTTGTTTTTTACATTCTACTGTTTTCCTGTAGCTATTGGAGAGTGTGGATGAAGACGTCTCCTTTGAGACACAACAAATCATGACTGTTAGTTTATTATCATTGAAACATCATTACCAACTATTTTCTGTTGCATCAACATTCCACATATCTAATGGTTCTCACTAACCTGATTACAGGATGGTGAAACCTCTTCAGCCAACATTGTTGATCCCGGTACCCCTACACCCAACGTGAAAAGGATATCACCTGATGATAACACTCACTGAACAATAAAAGATGTTCCTGAAGGGGACCTTTCTTCTACTAAGGTCAAGAAGGTCGCAAAGCGGGGGGAAAAGCTGCAAATTAGAAGTTACCAATTGCAGAAAGACATCTATTTTTTTGGTGTGCATATAACCACAACATGGATAGGTTATAATATCTTATAAGCTTCCATCCAGAACTTTTGAAATTGTGGTTTTTTGGTAACACGAGTTGTAAACCCCTTACTCTATGTGGTTCAGAATCTGAAATCCTTTTTGTTCAACACTACTTATATATTGTAGCTTATATTATATGGAATTCGTGTTTGACTATAATGTAGAATCTGATTCTTAATTCCTTGCTCTCTGTGGTTCATAATCTGTAACTCCTTTTGTTGGATACTATTTTACATTTTGTACCTACTAATAAAAGCAATCGATGTTTGACTAAATGAAAAAAGCTTTTGAAGAAGCTCCTTACATACTAAGTTTTCAAACTTTAGAGGATTCCATGCCATATTTGCATGAACAACGTCTTTGAGTGTATAAATACTCAATACTTTTTACCCCGTCTAAAACATCTTTATGTTACACGATGAAGACAACACTCCCAAATCTTCTACAACAAACGTTGTTTACAAGGAGGTTTTCAACAACGTATGGCCTGACCTTTTTCTCTTATAACACACGTGTAGCCTTCAGATGTAGTAGAATTATTGAGGGGTCACGATGAATGGAAAATCACTATTACTATAATATAATTTTAAGTATAAGTATTCTTGTTTTTTATGTTAAATACATCTTGCAGACTCATAAGACTTACTGTGTTTCATGGATGAATATAGTTATGATATTATTCTGATAAAAATATTATGGAGGACTTTGAAATTTCTATTTTGTAAGAAAAATATAACATATCACCTGATATCATAGTTGTGTTCTCTACGTACTCTTGTAAAATATTCGTGCAATTTCTATATAAATTTAAATATTAACATATTAGTCCATGATGTTTTGTGTATGCCAGAAAATAAGTACATGTTAACATTCAAATGTAATTATACACAACTAATTTTTGTGAGGATACAATGATTGTTGTTACATCAACATCAAAAGCATATATCCATGCGGTATAGATAAACCTGCTATGAAAGGAAGGTAACTCCTCATATGTAATTTTCTCTTTAAACGCAACAACCTCAAACACGTTGTTCCCGTAATAAGCAACAAAGATTGACACGTCGTCTGATGATGAGTAATAGTCTTTGAGCTCCCACCAACCACTTAAAACAAATGGATGTTCCTCATTTTTGTTATATACTACTAAATGTGTGATACCTTCTCTGTCTATAATGGTCTAGATTTGTTTCAGATCTGCATTGTGAGTTGTATCAAACAAAGGATCGATCTCTGCAAATGACTATAACCAAAAACCATAACCCATATTGTAAATTTACATCAAATTCAATTGACACCAAATCTACATCTTCATGCTAAAGAACGATTCAAAATTAACAAAAAAACCTTACTTGGCACGATAACTTGGCAAGTTCAATTGTGTCTTTGAGCTCCATGTGAGCAAGACTTCGAGGGCTTACCATGGATCTTGTGTGGTGACCAGACATATACAACAAGAAGAAGGATTTTAGTACGTTTAAAATAGAAAATCTATCATTGTAATTTATATGGGTGTACTCAAACCTATACTTGGTAATGTTGTACTCATACTCCATGTTTCACGTGTCCACAGTACCAATGAAATTATTTATTACAAACACCAATCTTTAGTGGATTTTGGACTATACTATCTTTGCCTTTAATGTTGCCTGCTTTTAACATCAAACACGTGGTTAAAGTTATTCACTTTTTCTTTTATAACATATATTGGAACCTCTACATAAGTATTGCATTAAAATATAACAGACTTAATTATAGCTTGAAAAAATGGGAACATTGAAGCACTTTTTCATTCTTTTTCGTGCTCTACAAAATATATCAGTACAGACACAACATTGGTACTAAAAAAACAAACAACAGTAAATATCCACAAACTACTCATGTCAAATACACTTTAACTGAAACAACATTCATATACTTTGTTATGCCAATTATTATCCATTCATTATACTCCCAAAACAACTACAACTATCCAGACTACATGCATCTTACATATAAAGTTTGCCAACTTAACAACCATTTATGTACAACTGAACATCATCTTAACTTCAACTTCAAATACGCACAAGAACAACAAAAACTTTAAGTAAATTATAAATTACAAAGAATACACCAAACTTAAGAGATCGACTTAAATATATAACCATTCTAAGTTAATATAACATCTCAACAACATTCACTTCTTCATTTGTCTTCAAAAAGGATTTCCAGAATCACAAGTCTATGCCTCCACACTCTTTATCAACACCATACACATCAATCTACCATGATCGCCAACCATAAGTTGCATTGCCACGCTCCACCGATACCAAGATCTCATTCAGGGGGGGGGGGGGGGGGGGGGGGGGGGACGAATGCAAAAGTGTAGCTTATCACCAACCTTCAAATTGACATCTTTGGAAAAGTCATGCCACTCACCCAAGAGGTACCTCTCTACACTCCCTGACTTCTTCTTCAACATGCAATAGTATGGGACGCCATTGTCAGAGTCGTAAATCTGAATTGACTCTCCCCTCTATGAATTCAACTCTTGATGACATTTCTAGAGATTTGTTGTACATAGAAAAATACTTTTAGATAAGATAAACATGTAACCACATAGTGTACTAATGTTACCAATGTTACCAGTGAAAACCTACACAAAGAGATGCCTAAGGTACTTACTAGAGCATTCGACCGAAGAGTCATGGGATCGGTTACCATCTGGCACCAGTTTTCTTTGAATTTTTCCTCATAAATAGGCTATATAGCCTGCAATATTTCAACACAACTAATGAATTTGTTTAAAGGTTAACAGATACTTAACAACTTATAATACTTGCAACTAAAATTAATGAATTGCATATTACTGAAGTCACAACTACCTCTCGCTTTCATATGAGATCTCTATGTATTCGGGTTCTTCTTGGGCTTGCACACCGCATCATTGGCAGAATAAGAAGCTTTTCCCTTACCTTTATCAGCAACATCGCCAATGCTGATCCCTTTATCCGCTACTATTGTTTTTCCTTTTCTGGTATCGGTCAAAAACTCACCTCCAGTTGTGCCCTTGCCTGAGTCATCCACAATTATCATCTTCTTCTTGCCTCTCTTTGCGAATTGCCTCTTCTCAACAACTACATTTTTTATGTCATATCACGTACGTTTCAGCCTGACATCCAGTTCTTTGTTTGAGGCACGAGGACTGCAACCATAAGTAAACCCTAAATATTACCCGAACTTAACATATACATGTTTAATGTAGCAAAAATATCATTATACCCGAACTTAACATATACATGTTTGATGTAACAAAAATATCATTAAACAGTGTTTGAAAATCCAATAACTATCAACAACATTAGGCATGACATCAAACATTGAAGATGAAATAGACATGCAGTTACATATAATGTTAAATATAGACAACGCAAACGACAAACACTACATGAGGATACACAAACGCATGCGATGAACTTACCTTGATCGATTTTCCTCGAAGTTGGGTACCATTTTTGAGATATCTTTCGCGACTATTTTTGGTTGATCTGAGAATGAGAAGGAGAAGGCGGATGGTTTGTGGAGGAGTTTCTCTAAGAAGTGGTTTGGTAAGTTTACACGTGAGAGTGGGAGAAGTAGTATAAGTGGTGCCTTATGTTCCTTAACTTAATTTAGGCACAAATTAACAATATCTTTGTATTATAGTCGTGGGTATACATTTGGAGTGTTTCACTTTCCCTCTTCCAGAATCAGGTATTTCTCTATCTTGTCTCCATTTTCTTTGACATTATTACCTTTTTCTCTTTGCAAACATGACAAATATTCCACAAGAGGGTTTTCATTTTCTAAAACCAAAACCCATTTCGTATTCGTCTCCTGAAACTCGTTCATCCCCGGAACTTGCTAATATCCCAAAAAACCCTAATAACAGTGACGATGAATGTTCATCTTTTGACATTCTAAACTATGAATCATGGGTGTGTCCCCAAGTTTTGAAGCGCCACTCAATCTTTACCTCACATGAATCTATCCTCCGTTTGCAACAAAAGATTCAGCTGAACCGTCATTCCTCACAGGATGAACTTGCATGTCTTCCGTGCTCCGAAGAAGAACGTGTGTGTTGGCATGCAGATGAACCACATTTCATTTATATGTATGAGTTTCTGTTTGAGAAACTGTTGATTTCAGTTCCTTTCTCGAAATTTCAATGTCACGTTTTGGCTACCCTAAATGTCGCTCCTTCGCAGCTTCATCCTAATACATGGGGTTTCATAAGAGCTTTCGAGATCCTATGTTCATGTGTTGGTGTTGAGCCTAGTGCCAATAAGTTTCTGTATTTCTTCCAAGTCAAGGTTTCAGGAAAAGTGGGATGGATATCTGCGAATGGCCGGTCAGGGAGACGGTTGTTGGATAGTTTTTATTCTTCCTATAAGAGATGGAAGAACATGTTCTTTAAAGTTCGTTCGGCTTCATTTTTGTTCAATGAAGGGGGAGATTCTCGGTTTCCTCTTTGTTGGACAACTGATCCTGTTCCCTTCATTACCTTTGAGATTGACCGATTGGACGAGGTTGAGCGGGATGAAATTCAACTTTTGACCGGTTTACCTGTGTTTCATTGTGCTAAATTGATAGCGCTGAATGAAAATCGTGATGCTTTGATGGCTCACTTTTGTAAGTTGCATTCGACGGGTCTTGTTTTGCTGGCTATGTTATCTTTGTTTCTATGGATGTATGTATGACTTTGATTTTTATTTTTATTTTATCGTTTTGCAGCTTACATGACGACATACAAGTTCAAGAAAAAGGACTTGGCGAAATTCATTAACCTTAAAGCTTCTATAGATCCGATTGCTTGTACTTCAGCTCCCTACCGGACCATGGCCTCACCTTCGGGAAGCCAGCTTAAGGAAATGAAGCGAAAAAGACTATCTGAGGTCCCAACCGAGCCCGTGCCTCATAAACAAATCCGTGTCGTCCATTCACCTGTCCTCCTTTCCAGTGCAGGGAATGTTCCTTCCTCCAAGCTGCCTTCGGTTGGTCCGGCACCGACCCTTCCAATTCAGAACCTTGAGGCCATGTGGGATGATGCACACGGGTCTTCATCAGAGATTGACAGACCCTGTTTTTCTAAACTGAGGAAGGAGGAGATGGTTGAAGCAGCTAAGGTATACCAGCTACGCGCTTTAACTCTTATGAAAGAGGTGGAACAAGTTATATTTTCAGAGGGCTTAGATAAGCTGACAAAAGAGAATGAAGAGGATAAGAGGATTAAAGAGATTGAAGATTTGAAACGAAAACTGGAGGTTGCTCACAAAGCTCAAGACAAGATGAAAAAAGAATTGGTTGACTTGAACACAAAACAAGAGAAATGGCAGAAGGAGAAAATTGACTTAGAATCTGCTTTGAAGGAAGAGCGCGATCTCTTGAAATCCACTAGGGTAAATCTGCGCGATGAGAAAAATAAGGTTCAGCAGGCCATGTCACAGGCAGCCCACCAGTATTTGGAAGGTTTCAATTGTGCTAAGTCTCAAGCCGCCTTCTTGTGCTCTGTTGATGAAGGAAAATTAGATGGCATGCGTCTTTGGGGTCAGGTAAGGGGTGGTGAAATCGTAGTTGATGACGGGGGAGACGAGAGTGACGACAGTGGTCAAGGGTATGTTCTAGGATTCCGAGTTTGAAGGGGTCCTCAAGTGATGAACCAAGATGTTGTAGTCACCTCAGTATGTTTTGTGAAAAAAAAAGTCTGCTTTGTTATAGATAGTAGTAATTAGTAACTCTCCTAACCTTATTTAAGATTTGCTCCGCAAAGACACTATTTTTTGTAACTAATCTGTATGATAGTGTTTTGTCATCTATGTATACCATATTAAGGATGAGGTTGTGGAGTAGAATTTATGATAAAAATCAAAAGACCTAAGAACGTTGAAAAGGAAGCTAAAATCTAAATTATCAAATGATTTTATAATGTCAATTTAGATGTTTCCACCAAAAAACCTATTCTTCAACATATACTCATGGCTTTTGAGGTGACACAAACATATTCAAAGATGTTCCTCCCTTACGGATCATCTTTGAAATGATATTTGGGGCAAACATTGAAAGGCGATTAGTAAGAATGTTAGATTTTCTCTTTTTTTAAATATTTAAGTTCGTGTGGTTTGAGTCATACATTTCACATTTAACTTTTTTTATTTTATTTTTACATTTCACATTTGATTTATTTTTTTGTGTACCAGTGTATTTGTGTCTTTATTTAGTTTTTAGAACTTGCAATTTTTCTTTTCTTTATTTAGTTTTTAGAACTTGCAATTTTTCTTTTCAGTATTTATTCGTTCTATACCTTTTGAGTACTAATTCAACATTGAATCAGAAGGTTGCATCCTTCACAAGTAGAGATTAGTAAGAGCTTTTGGAAAATTTGAAAAATATTTTAGAAACAAGTGTGTTCTAAGCTCCCAATCTACTTTTCGTTGATGGGAGGGAGACAATTTTTTAATTACTTCAATTTTTTCTAATCAGCTTCAATTTTTTCCTAGTCAACTTCAATTTTCTAGTGGTAGATGTTGTTACTTTTGGATCGCCTCTATTATACAAAATAATAGGGTATGTTCAAGCTATTTTTTTTTTTGTAAAGGACACATGTGAAAATAAATGTTCCATCATATGTGTATTATCTGTCTCTTGTGTGTAGGGTAAGGTTGTTCTTTTTTGCGGGCGTATTTTTCAGTTATTTAACATATTTTGTTGTTATTTGTGCAACGAGGATTATTGCTATCTTTTAGAAATCTGATTTGATTGATTATTTAAATAGGTTAAATTTAAATCATGGAGATTTAAATTTGAATTCAAATCAAATCAAATCCTTTTAGTAAATGTGTTTTAGAGAAGAAAAAAATCTTAACAAAGTCTCCATAATATCTGGATAAAATCAAATCAAATATCCAAATGAGAAAAACTCATAATTGATTGCTACATATAAGAATCCTTCCATGCCTTAAAGATCACGAGCTTTAGTGATATTTTGTGTTTATGATGAGTCTTTTGTTTGTGTTAATTGTACATCGTACTATTGCTTCATTCATACGGTATAATAGTTGATTTGTTTAGTTCAGTTGTAATTCAACATTGATAACTTTGAGTATTGTTGTTGATCACTTGAAATTAGTGATTGAGAGAAAGTGAGAAGGGACTTCTCATATTTAGGAGAGAGGGGTGTTGGCTGAAGATTTTGATGATACAGTTCGAAATAAAGCAATATGGATGTTTCGTTGGAATAAAGCAAAATGTTACAGTTCGGAATGGTAGAAGCGGTTCTCCGAACGGACATGTCAAAGCTCGGAGCTTCGAGTGACAGTTGTGAAGATATATTTAAAAGAAGCCTCGAAGTGGTAACGAGACTGTGTCTGAGAAATGAGTTCGAAGCGAAGATTGCCAAAGCATTTGAAATTCAAACGCGAGCGGGATGTTGGAATTCAAATATATATGCGCTGGAGCGTTCGAAGACGCGTGGAAGCTAGAGAGGAGCAGTGCTCTGCATGTTCCGAACGTGGCAGAATCTTATAAGCAAGACCGTTATGGTCGAAGTAGTATAAATAGAAGTCTTAGTATTAGGATTTCGTGTGTCATATCTATTGTACAAAATTCAGTAAACATTCAAAATACCACATGGATAGGAAAACGAATGCTCGAACAATGTACGTATGATAACACCAAACATTTACAATTCAGTAAAACTCTTTATCTTTTCCAGTTTATCTTCCATTTTCATGTCAATGTCATTCAAATACCTTTGCATTTAAACTCATTTACTTATTTCTTGCATTTAAACGTTTTCTTCTATTCGAATCCTTTACATTTCAGAAACTCTTTTACATTTCATGCTTTTATATTCATGCTTTTTACATTAAAGTCTTTACATTCAAAGGCATTTACTTATTTCTGCATGTAAACATTTCTTTGCAATCGAGTCTTTATTCATACAATTCAGTTTCGTATTTCTTTACTTGATCATGTCATTAGATTCTTTTAACATGGTAATCGAAGTGAATTGAACGTCTATAAAACATTCTAAATACAAATCCTAACTATGAATATCAGTTTTGCAATTAGATTTATCCAAACGACCAATACCCCATAGGATCAATCTAGTCGATCCTGCAAGTTACCAGAGAGATTAAATAACAGTCATTAAGATTATTTGATAGTTTGGAGGACTAGCGGTTGTTTACCAGAAATCACTGTAAACAAATTGGCATACCCGGTGGGACGGTCATTGGTCGTTACGAAATTTAAAACGAAGTAAAGATTGTTAGGATATAATCATTGTAAAAGTTCTTTCTGAGTGATAAGTTCGTTGTTATATGAACCTTAGAAGTGGTAGAATAACCAATAGCAACCAACCCTTACCCAGAAGAAAACGTAATAACAAGATGTCTAATCCAAACAATCAACAAGGGAAATAAAATGCCCCACATGGAACAGGCACTAATATGTCTGCTTCGACGGGAACGTCTAATGCGATCCCTTCGAGCGCACAGTCTGTTGCATCCTCTACCAGTAGTGTAGCCACAAATGGAACAAGTGGCATGTCGACTAACAGTTCGATCCTAGGAAATACAGGAACCACTGGTTATCCTGGGGGATTCGTCCCACCATCAGGGACACAAACCCATTTCGCCACCCCACTAACTAGACCACCCGGTTTCGATGGTAACAGACACAGAAATCTCTCTTATGGGATGCCAACATCTTTTATGACGGGTCTGCACACTTCGACATCGAATACGTCACCACAATTAGGGTCTGGATCTGGGGCTAATCAATTTATGACAAATAACCAAGGGTCAGTAGGTTATAGTGCATTGCCTATCTTAACCACAGAAAATCAGATGGCTTTTAGGCAATTAATGGATGATAGTAACCATAATATGATAGGAGTGTTAGCACAAACTATGCAAGAGATCTTTGCCCCAATAGTACAAAATGTGACTGTGACAAACAGAGAAAACGCGGATAACATGAGTCGAATAGCATATTTTTTCGCTCCTCCAGAAAGGCGTAGGCAGAATCAGGTGGGGGTTCGAGCAAACATACCTATCATAGAACAAATTGCTGATGACCCACTCTATAGACCAGCCAGAGAGGGGGTTAACTTGGGGGCAAGGGCACAAAGGTTAGAAGCCCCATTGATTCAAGACCCACAAAGGGAAATTATAGAACCAGGGGCAAGGGTCGAAAGGTTAGAAGTCCCAGAGTTTCGAGAAGAACAACCTAGAGGAGTTGTCATGGTGGGTCGAAATCAAGATGCTGATGCAGTCGTTCACAGAATTCGAAACGATAACATCTTGGCAGAAAATAATTTAACCACCATGATAGAGAGGATTATGGCCCAAAATGGCCTCAATACAGGAATTAGAAGGCCAAATTATGCCTCTCCTATATTAGATTACATAATGCATACTGATTTACCAAGGGGATATAAGGTCCCTAAGTTTACAAAGTTTGCTGGAGATACCAATGAATCAACAGTCGAACACATAGCCAGGTATCTGACCGAAGCAGGAGACATAACAAATAATGAGAACCTTATGATTAAATATTTCCCAAGTTCCCTCACTAAGAACACTTTTACATGGTTCACCACATTGCCTCCTGGATCCATAGATACTTGGACCCTCTTAGAGAGATTATTCCATGAACAGTTCTACATGGGACAATCTAAAATAAGTCTGAAGGAACTAGCCAGTGTTAAGAGGAAATTTACTGAACCCATAGATGATTATCTGAATAGGTTCAGACTCTTGAAATCTAGATGCTTCACAGTAGTTCTTGAACATGAGTTAGTCGAAATGGCTGCTGGCGGCCTGGATTACTCTATTTGAAAGAAATTAGACACACAATACTTGAGGGACATGGCTCAATTAGCCGATAGGGTTCGACAAGTCGAAAGGCTAAAGGCCGAAAAGGCCAGAGTTTTTAAAAATAACAAGAAAGAAAGGGTCTCCTATGTTGGAGCTGAGGAAGCAGAAGATTACCCTGAATTCGAAGAGGTCGAAATTGATCTCGCTGAATTGAAACAGGCTCCACCTTACTCTTGTAAATTATTAGTTCCCACAAAGGGGAAATAAATTGTTGAAAATGAGAAAAGTGACAAATTCCCAAAGAAGGTGTATACTTTCGATGTAACAAAGTGTGACGAGATTTTTGATTTGCTTGTCAAAGATGGCCAACTCATTGTGCCATCGAATGTCAAAATACCTCCTTTAGATCAAAGAAAGAAAAGAGGATTTTGTAAATATCATAGTTTCCTAGGCCACAAAACCTCACAGTGTTTTCTTTTCAGGGATCTGATTCAAAATGCAATTAAGGATGGCAGATTGAAATTCGCTGACAAACCAAAAATGAAAGTAGATGAAGACCCTTTGGATGTTGCAGACACCAATTACTCCGAGCCTGCGTGCATTGGAGAAATCAATATGGTGGAAGCAGATCAAGATGACACTCCATTAGGAGAAAAAAGCACTGAGAATGAAAACTGGGTGTTAGTCGAAGTCAACAAGGGGGTCACTCAGGACGTCCACAAGCAACTAGAGGCTTCGATCGAAGCAGTACCTTTGGCTGTTTCGAAAAAGATCCAGGCTACTGAAGGCCAGGAGAACCAAAAGCAAGAATTGACATA